CGTAGGGGGTGCCCAGCCTGCCCGCCGGCCCCAGACCTCGGCCCTTGTCTACACGGCCTTGCCCTGGGCGTCTCCACCAGGCACAGTGGCCCGAACACCCCCACTGTCAACACCCCCGCGTGAGTGCGTTTGCCACGGAGCATCAGCACTCAGCCCCTCTGAGCTGCGTGGCCGCCGGCGGCCCTTGGCGCCGTCATCCACTGCCCAAGGCGTCCGCTCACCGCCTCCGCGCTCCTCGGTTTACATCCAGCCCCGTGAGCGTCAGGCGGGGCTTCGTGGACATGCCCTCGCTCCTCTGGGTAAGCACTGGGAGCAGGCTGGGCTGAGCGGGAGGGCGCTTGGACTGGAGGCCAGCCTCCAAAGCACGTCGCCCACATCCCTCCGGCCAGCGACGGAGTCCTCCAGCCCCGTGCCTTGCCAACACCTGCCCGTGTCCGCTTCGGGACCTGGGCCTGCTCAGCAGGTGTGGCGTCTCGTTCTGACCCTTCCCTGGTGTGGTGGGCAGTCTCCACCTGCTGTCCCCACCCGTGCTCAGGGCTTGCTGCCCGCTGTAGTCAGGTGCTTTCTCTCCTCGGCAGACTTTCAGGCGTTCTCGTGTGTCTGGGACAGCAGGTGCCGGGCCGTCGGGTGCACTGACCCCTCCCCGTCCATGGCCCCTCTCTGTTCTCATCACTGCCTTGCTCGGAGCAGAAACACCAGTGTCGGCGAAGTCAGCTTGCCCACCCCGCCTCCCGCGGACGGTGCTTGGTGTTGTGTTTAAAGTCAGCAAGAGCTGGCCGCCTGGACTTCCTCCTGGGCACCTTCTGGGGGCGCCCGCTTCGCACTTTACGTGTCGGTCTGTGCCCGGCTCCGAGCCGAGGTCTGTGCGAGGCCCACCTGCGTGTGCGGCGTCCTGCCCTCCCGCCGGCCCTCGCTGAGCGCGCCCCTTCTCCCGCACGCCTTGCGCTCCGTCAGAGACGCTGACTGGATCCAGGCCCTCTCCTCTGTCCTGCTGACCTGTCCCCGCTGCAGTGTCTCTGATGCCACAGTGTCCACGTCCTCGGACTCTGTCTTCCCACCCCGAGGGCAGGACCTGGGAGAGCTCGGTCCAGGCTCTCAGCTAGCTGGCTGGTCCTGACGCTGCTCTGCGGAGGGCTCCTGCTCTCCTGAGGGGTTCCTGTTTTACTGAGGGTCCCCCGTGCCGCCGAGGGTCTCCCTGCTCTGCCAAGGCTGCGAGTGTCACTCGGAAGCTGTCGCTTCCCTGAGAACCGGGGCAGGCATGGGGCAGGGTGGATGCAGTGGGTGCAGAGCAGCCCCTCCCTCTGACTGCAGTTATGTTCCTGCCCAGGGCCCGGCCTGCCCTTCCGCCCCACCAGGCACCCAGCGGGGCTGAGCCCTGTGTCTCCCCAGACTCCTGGGACCCGCTCACACCTCCCCAGAAAGGGCCTTGCCAGCCCCAGAGCAGCGGGGAGCCAGGGCACGTCCGGAGACGGGCAGCTCCCCCTCTCCGAGCCTCCACCCAGTGGGCAGCTGCCTTCTTGTACGCGATGGTGCACTTGCAGTCCATTTCAAAACTAGGCAGTGATGGGGACCAGCAGTTAGCGTAATGGCTATGTCGCTGGACTCCCACGTAGTCGACCGCGGTTCGTGCCCTGGAC